TGTGTATTTTCAACAGTTTCAATATGAAAAATAACTTTTATATTGATTCAATGGATTTATTGCATTTTGGGGAAAAAAATAATAAAATTTTATAATAAATCTTTGAAAATAAAAATCTGGATTTGAATTTTTAATGTTATTATAACCTAAAGATGCTATGTGAAAGTTTGAAACAGAAAATAGTGGTTTTCATCTTGCCACTTTCTTGGTAAAGAAAACACATTTTTACTCAAATTAATCAAAATGGATTTATAGCGTTTTGGAACCAAACTCTTCATATTATTTATATATATATAAGGACTCGACACCTTTAAAACGGCTTTTGCAATGGTGACGCACTTAAAAGATGTCGCTTCAGGCCATGACAACTGGACATGTTAATGGCTCAAAAAAGGACAGTTTCTTCTGCCTCAAGAGCTCCAGATGTAATCTAGAGAGTCTGGCGCTCTTTACAACATTACAGTCACTCCTTTTGTTCGGTTTGAATACGTAAATGACTGTTTGAACATAAGTATGTCTTACAGCAATATTTAAAAGCACACGTTTTGATGGTTGAAGAGATATATATATATATATATATACAGTGGGTACGGAAAGTATTCAGACCCCCTTAAATTTTTCACTCTTGTACCCACTGTGTATATATATATATATATATATACACACACACACACATATATATAGATATAGATACATAATATGTATAATTCAGAAATACAACAAAAATGACTCATAATTTAAACTTTTTACGTCATATTAATGATTTAATAATGCATTTTGTCAAAATAATGACTTGATGATATCAACCAGTTAAGTTAATTGTTGCACAAGCAGAGCAAGTCATTACATTTTATCATGCACAATAAGACCAGGATCATGCAATAGAAAATTATTTGGACATCATGTTGACTTTAACGTTGCAAAAACAAGATGGGTTGAAATTTTTCCGTCTAACAATGTTCAATCAGCAGGTCGCTGATGAATAGTAATTGATTTTAAACAGATTTCAAGTTACTAATCATTCAGGCATCGCATCGGGTCGGAAAGAGCGAGAGCGAGTTGAGATGGAAATGAGATGCCTGTCTCCACGTCTAATCACTTGTGGCTGGACATCGCGGCCCCACCAACAGACTGAAGCAGAGCCAGGATGCTAACAAACATCCACCACAAATAAAAACTACAACACTGGCAGAAAAAGAGTAAGGAAAACTCCCAGACTCTGAGAAGACTGATATCATTAAGACACTGATAACATTAAAGGTCACTGGACTGATATTATTGGCTGCATCTATCCGTTAGGTTCCTCATGACATCATCGTGTTCCGAATGAATTGGAACTGCGATGAGGTCACGACAGACGCCACGGCGACCTCAGTCGACCAATGAGAGCGAGCGCAGTCGCCAGAGCAGACTGTAATCTACTCATCAGAGCCAATCAGAAGCCTGTTATCGCTCGCAGACACACTGACACACTTTTATGACGGGAAAAATTATGGATGAAGAAAACATCCATTTGATTAGCACACAATCTCTCTCATAAGTCTCTTAGTTCACCGTTTGTCCTGTGTGTGGTCCTTTTCTCTCAGCACAGATATAATATTACAAGAGTGAGAAATACACTCATATTTCATACCTTTCATAGCATTTACTGTTTATGTTTCTTGCTTAAAAAACAATCAGGATTTAGTTGTATGACCATTTACGTGCCTATTTCAGATTATTTATATAAGAAAAAACATATAAATTAGTGCCCATGCCCACTAATATATATTGTAAGAAATCATGTTTTGGTAAATTTAAATTTAAATTTATGACTTTGGTAAGTGATAATTATGACAGAAAAAGTCACTGCTTACAAGCTCATGACTTTTTATCTCATAATTTCAACTTTTTATGGCTATTATGATTTTCAGCATTTTGTCTTATGCTGGGCTTCCATAATATATGTGGTAAAATTAATGGTATTCACAGATTTGAGAATAGCATTACAATGCATAATGCATAATATATACTCAAAAATTAAAAATACTAAATGACAAGGGAAAACGCAGATGCATTATCCATTGTAAGATTTAGAAACAAAAATAATAAATATTAATTAATTATTATTTTAAAAACATTAAGTTAATAAATATTAATATTTAAACAAATATTAATTATTTTAAAATATTGAGAACAAATGTTTATTTATTAACTATAAATTAAACAAATATAAAATATAAATTATGTACAGTAAATTACGTACATAATTTATATGTAAAATATAAAATATGTACAGCAGTTTGAACGGCCTGGAATTTGTTTGTTTTTTTAATGCTACAGTAGGTCTACTAAAAACACAATCTGCACCAAGTGTGTGTGATGTGTCTTAACTCTCCTATGTTTCTGCACTGCAGATGCTCTGGGGGTCTCAGAGTGTGTGTGTGTGTGTGTGTGTGTGTGTGTGTGTCCTGGGGTTGTTATTGTGGGCTGTGTTAACAGAGCTGCAGATAAATGAAGACATCATGGCTGCCATCCAGCAGAGCTGAGAACACACACACACACAGAGAGAGAGAGGGGTTTTCCATGCCACTAATGCTGTCAGTACATAAACAGGCGGCTGAGGGTGACAAATGCTGCTGCTAACTTCCACACACACACGTCTATGTCCTCCAGTAAAAATCCCTGTGGATCTCTCTCGGAGCATGTCCATTCAAACTCAGGAGCGTCTGATGTATTACTCATTATAAAGTCTGAGGGAAACATCAGATCCAGAAAGAGAGTCTGATTCAGACAGCAGAAATCATGGAAGTGTCTTGTCTTAAAGAGACACACAGGCTACTGTAATTTCACATCTTGTGTTCGTTCCAGAAGTAAAAATGCCATTAAAAACTCCCACAGAGCAAATTCTTTAGCAATAACAAGAGATATGGGGTTACTGAGTGACGGTTTATACTTCTGAAGCAATATTCTGCCAATTTTTGGTCAATTCACTGGGCTCAGGGAAAAACTTCCTTGCCATGTTGTATTGAGCATCTGATAATCTCAAAAATTTGACTATTGATATTTTCCTAAAAAAGCAGTTGTTGACATGAAGGCCAGTCTTTAGATGAGTGAAGAGGAAAATAGTTTATTCATGCAAAGCCACCTGTCAGATTAAACACAGGACAGGTCAGTGTGTGTGTGTGTGTGCAGATGAACACATTCATACTGTCACAGTCTCTTTAGAGAGAGTATATGTGGCAGTCAATGTATACATCAACATTGTCAGGATTCCTGCAAAGTCTTCTGCTACTTCCTAACACTGGGCTCCTGTGTGTGTGTGTGTGTGTGTGTGTCATGTCTGACTGGACTACTAAAGCACTTCCTGTCTGCTGCTATAAGCCCACCACTACTTCCTGTCACCGTGATTTCAGCAGCAGACAGTGTGGTATTTGATCGGGCACAACTTGCCAGCATCACTATGGGGTTCCTAAGCTGTTCTGAGTTGTTTCTAGGGGTTGCGATGCGGTTGCTAAGGTGCAGTTTCTGGGGGTTACTAAGGTGTTTCTAGGGAGTTGATTTGCAGTTGCTAAGGTGTTCTGAGTTGTTTCTAGGGAGTTGCTATGAGGTTGCTAAAGGTGTTCTGAGTGGTCTCTAGGGATTGAGATGCAGTTATTAAGGTGTAGTTTCTAGGGGGTTGCTAAGGTGTTCTGAGTTGTTTCTAGGGAGTTGCTATGAGGTTGCTAAAGGTGTTCTGAGTGGTCTCTAGGGATTGAGATGCAGTTATTAAGGTGTAGTTTCTAGGGGGTTGCTAAGGTGTTCTGAGTTGTTTCTAGGGAGTTGCTATGAGGTTGCTAAAGGTGTTCTGAGTGGTCTCTAGGGATTGAGATGCAGTTATTAAGGTGTAGTTTCTAGGGGGTTGCTAAGGTGTTATGAGTTGTTTCGAGGGAGTTGCTATGCGGTTGCTAAGGTAATATCAGTAGTTTATAGGGATTGATAAGTGGCTGCTAAGGTATTCTGAGTGGTTACTAGGGCGTTGCTAAGGTGTTCTAAGGGGTCTCTGGGG